CTCAGCTCACGCGAAACAATTCAGTTCAGTTCGGTCGATCTGTTTTTTTAACCCTCTCTTTATTTTCCCTTCTCGTCCTTGGAAACGGTGCAACGATTAACGAGCACGTTGCATGCATGTGCACCTCGCCTGTGTACTTTTCGCCGTGCAAAGATTAGATAACCGGTCAACCCGCTATCGGTTCACCGGAATCGTAAAATTTCGTGGTGGACTTTTCTGCATAGAAATCTCTGCGTGAACAGACGTGGCCGAGCTGAAAAAAATGACTAGTTAAAATAAAGTTATAACTTTATTTATCAAAATGCTCGAACAACGTTCGTTCTTATTACAGGTGAATTATTATAATAAGTAATTATTGATATTTGAATAAAGAATTATTAAAAGAGTAATTGATTAAAATTTCGAATAAAGTTACACTGTAAGTTTAATAAGTTTGGTTGAAATGCTCGAACAATATTTATTCAAGAGACAAGAACTGTTTTCGGTTCTCCGTCCATTAGCGTGCAGTACTGTGATTAGATGATCAGAAACCATTGCCCTCTATGGAAGATAATCGTTTTAAACTTTTTAAACATTGTTGAGGGAACAAGAATGAATGAATTAGAAACTTTATTACTCGTATATTTTTAGATATTCTGATAATAAATTTTAAGATTTTAAATATTTAAATGAATATATTAATATATTAATATTTAAAATTATAGAAAAATATTATTATATATATATATGTTTATTCGCAGTTTAGTACAGTTGATCCGCTCTTTGTGTAATCTCAACCATTTGGCGCTGTAGTTATCTGCGATTATTCGATGCTTTAAATAATAAATTATTGAAGTAATTTAATTAATTTATTGTTTTAAAATTATGATAATACATTTTGAACGTAAATATAGAATGTTAGAAAAGTATCGAGTATGGTTAATTTCTTTTCTGATACGCGGTTTTTTTTTTTTAATTACTTTTTTTTTTTACAATATTTAAATAATTTGCAATTTCTTTTCTCAACAAGCTAAGAAAAAATGAAGTGTCTTTGAGAAATGAGAATTAACTGGAAAATAAAGTTTAATAAAGAAATCTTTTCTTCTATTAAAAAAATGCATTTAATTTGTATTTTTTCTCTATTTTAGAAATTAAAATTTTTATACTTAATAAAAATTTAAGTTTTTATATTAAACGAACAAAACGTGGAAATTTAATTAAAGCGAAAATAATGGAATTAGTTTAAATTGAAAGAATTTCTGCAGTTCGATAAATAAAATAAATCTCTTTCCATTTATTAAAATGTTATTAAAAAATTGTGTCAAACCCACGTATAGAAATTCCATTACTTTTATTTTATTAAAATTTCACGTAAAATATCGAAGCATATAAATTTCATTACAAAGTGCAGAATATAATAGCTCGTTTAATTATTTTAATAATGATTATCAAATATAATCAAAAAAATTACAGAAAAAAATATTGCAAATTTTTCAAAAATGAAATAAATAAAAGATAATAATAAGATATATACTAAGATATATAATAAAAAATTACATATAAGATTTTTCTTCGTTTGAAGATTTCCACTGATGCGTGTAGTTTATTATTCCTTACTAATTTAGTAATTTTTTTTTATTAATTTAGTAATATTTTCTTACAAATTATTCTTTTAAAATTTAATTTTATTCATAATATTTCCAAATTAAAAATTATTTGTCCAAATCAATTTGTTCCTCTTAGAAAGTTTCTTAGTTGTGATCAAAGATTTTCCACTTTATAAACAAATATGTGAAAACATATCAGAAACGCTTAACATAACATCGCAACGAATTTCCCCTAGGACGCTCATCAAATGAAGCGTGAAATCCCCTCGGAAACAGGATACTTTTACTGTTCGATCAGCAGATATCAAAAAGTAAATTTCATTCCACAACGATGGAGTTAACAATTTGCTATTTGTTTAATAATTGATAACGAATCAATTTGCACCAGTTATCGTACTCGATGTAATAGATAAAAATACTATATCAAACAATAAATATAGAATAATATTCCTGTAAGAATAATCCTTGATTAATTTTCATTGCATTGATGGAATATTTAAAATTGCGAAATATTTACTTTGAAGATCATTGTAAAAATAAAAATAATTGTTACACAGCAGCCCTTTTTAAGCACTATTTTGTGATTGTAACCCATTTTTTAAATATTTTATTATATAAATTATAAGACATATTAGTCGATTCGATACATTTAAATCATATATTTCATAAAACACTTGGTACTTTTCAATTGAATTGCTTCTTTTATTTAGATGAACGATATGTAGTATACAATTAAACGTTGGGCACACAGAAGCCATGAAGCGAGTAACGGTAGAAAAAAAAACGGTTTAAGGACGGAACAAAAGAATCTAATTACATACTAGCAACTCGTCACAAGTGGCCTGAGACTGAACCGTAACTCGAACCTTTGAAAACAATAGGGTAATGCGCGAAGCTTTTTTCCAGAATTTAATCCATTTCTGAAATTTGTTATTACTTTGGAAATACAATGGAATACGATACGATAAAAAAAATTCATTAAATAAATTGTCCTCTGTAATCCCGCCATATCGAAGAATTTTTTGTAACATAATTTTTATATGAAAAGAATGATTAAAGTCATTTCGATTCCTTTCATTTAAGTTATTAAATAATGCAGTTTAATAATTTCTCGTTTAATATTTTCTAATTATAAAAATCCATATTAAATTTTTTATTTTTTATAATAACATTCATTTTTTATGAAAATATTTTTTTCATAAATTTACTTGATTAAAAATATATTTTAATAATATATTTAATTCTTCTCCATATAATTTTAATCCGAGAAAAATTTTTAAGCTATAAACAATGAAAAATTAAATTTAACTAATTATTTAATTAAATAATTTAATTTTCTATGAGATATTATTTAAAAAAAATTAAAGAATAATACAATGATCAAAATATGTTGGTATTTTCCAGCCGAAAAATTAACAAATGCCAAGGAAATCCCGAGATCGAGAAACTTTTTGAAATGAAACATTTTTAAAGAACATCGAGTGTGCTCGAGAGATTATATCTTGGTGCATCCTTGTCCAGTGCCAAAATCGGGAAACTCTTGCATTGAGAAACTTCCTATCTCCGCGGAATTTACACAATTTTGATATAATCTAACATAATAATCTATAAATTGTTATTTTATTATCTTTTTCGAAATTTTAGATTTAAATTAAATATTGAATTAAATTAAATATTGATTTCATAATTTTTCATTTATATAAATTGATTATTATATGTTATATCTCTTGTTAATAAATAGAAATATACACCAAGTTTAATTTAATTTATTAAACATTATTTGCATAAGATATATAAACAATTACCTAAAAATTAATGGTATTCGTTTATTGGATTAATAATCGATGATTTTCATTTATTTGTAAATTTGATGTTAACAATATTTTCTTTTTGCAATAAATGTTTATTATATTTAATGTTTGCATTAAATAAATAACAAAATTAATTTCAAAATATAAATGTTGAAAAAAAAATTAATTTTTAATTTTAAAAATAACAATGATAAAAATTACACTTTTATCATAGGATATTTTTTAATAATTTCCTGTGTATTCACAGTAACAAAGAATGCCAATAAGCTTCATGCTTACAACCAATAACCGATACAAAGTGCCACTATACATAACCTAACAATATAATTTCGTGCATTCGATAAGAGATCGAAAAACCGATAGCCAAGCTACTAACACAGTTGCACTATCGAATAAAATATGAACTAGTTTCTCGTCACTTGTCGCGGACATTCAAAGCATGCACGAAAATTAAAATAAATCGAATCGTATTCTAAAAACATTCACAAAATTTCATTTGCAGGTTAGAATTTCATTTTTCGGAAAATTCGAATCGAATCGTTTTTAAAGAAACAAAGATTTATCGAGATGGCTTGTCAACGAACTCTATATATGTATTGGTATTGCGACTTACCCTCAAAACCTAACCTGACACCGCCCTGTGTCACACTAAAGCCGCTTCCAAATCCCTCGGAAGTTGTTCTATTCCTGTGGACGCCACGTCCGTCGGGGATTCACATTCGTGAAACGTCGGAAAACTCGACTCGTTTCACGATTACCGTGAACCACACAAAAAGCCAGGAAAAACAACGACTTCGTCCCATCGTGAGACAAGAACTGCCTTCGATGCAGCCTCCGTCCACTGGCGTGCAGTACTGTGACTAGGTGATCAAAAACCACGGTTCTCTATGGAAGATGATTGTTTTAAATTTTTCCAATTAGTTAAAGAAACAAAAATGAGTAATAAATTAGAAACTTTATATTATATATTTTTAGATATTCTAATAATAAATTTTAATGTATTTAAGATTGTAAATATTTAAATGAATATATTATTATATTAATATTTAAAATTCTAGAAAAATATTATTATATATATATATATATATGTATTTCACGATGAATATTTAAATGATTTAAATATAAAAATTTATAAATTTTCTTATCATTATAATTGGCAATTTCTGAATATTTCAAACATCGAGTGTACCATGGATCACCATGACAGAAAACGATCCTGAAGTCGCGCATGCGCAATAATAGTAATTGTGAGTGACATAGGTAGAGCGGAGAATATGTTTCGTTTTCTGACGAATTACTCGTGAAAATAATGAATTATTATTAATTATAGTTTGACGAATGTCACCAACAGATCTGTTTCTTTCATTTTTCAAAAGTAATTATTTTTTATGTCTATATTAATATTATGTTGCAAAGAAATCAATGATCGAATCGATAGGATAATTCAATTACGCTCTGAAAATTTCTATCGGCATGCATTCGATCGAAAATAAAGTTAATAAACTATTTCTAATTATTTCGGAAATATTAAATATAATTCAATAAAAAAATTCCATTTATTCATATCTAATTAATAATTTATGTCAATTAATAATTTTATAGTGCAAAATTATTATTAATTCTTTAGAATAGCGAGAAATTTCCAAATTCTAACCTAACTTTTACAAATTGAAACTTGCAAATGTATGATTGGCGGGAAACGATTACTTTCAAATTTTTAAAAAATATTATTGAATTTTTATGAGTTTAAAATTCCAGATAATATTAAGAAATGAAAATATAACTTTTTATTATTTGCTGTTACTTCAATCGTGATACGACTTTAAACGACTTCGACACTTTGCCTCTTTAATATTCCATCCAAGATTCAGAGAATAGAAGAGAAATGGAAGTTGAAACAATGATCAAAGGTACGCAAGGATAATATCGATTGTAAACTTCGTCAATTACGAATCCTATCAAAATTCCACGGTGCAACCAATGAGAAAGATCAATCTTGATTAATTGGATTTGCTTACGTTTCAATTAAACTAACAGAATTCAATTGAACCAACGGAATATGAACGACATTCTGAGATATTCATTTCATCTTTTTTTTTCCAAACTCTTGTTCTCAACTTCAAAACTCAAACTATTAACCTCACTTTTTCAAATCAAATCAAATCAAATCAAATCTTTCATCATCTTTCTCCAATTTGATTTTAATTTTCCATTTTAGAAGATGTTCGATCGTCTCGAAAAGAGATAATGAAGATTCATTTCGAGAAGAAACTGAAGGATACGTTTTTAGACGTATAATTCACGATCAAGAGGGAGCATGAAATTGGAGCGTGGCAATCAGAAATGGGACGTTCATTGAATTCGACCAGTAAAAGGGGGAAAGAGTGGGCACGACAAGGAGTATAACATACATTATGAGTGGAATCGATAAGAACTGGGTTAACACGATCAGTTAAAGCAGCAGACTTTCTTCAACATGACTATTATATTTAAAATTAATGATGATTTAATCAGATGGAAAATTGAACAATCCTATGCGTTTTCCAATCCGTTCCCTCTGAAGAGAATCATCTTTTTCATGTCATTCATCTTTGTTCCTATTATCAGGTATCAAGTTCATTTTTCCTGGTACTGTTAACGAAATCTTTTTTCTTTTTCAAGAAACACGATCAATTGAAGCAATCTTCAGCACGGTTTATATTATATTTAAAATTAGACAGATGAAGAATTGAAGAAGAATATAAGATATACGTTTCAAGCTATGATTTTTTTGAAGAGAATTATCTCCTTGATGTTTATTCATCCTTTGTTGGTAAATGGTTAATTTTTACTCATGAAATCTTTTTCAATGTATCTTTTGAAAGATTAAGGATTACAATGCTTAATATTCTTATATCTCAATATTATATCTTCATATTTATATTTTAAATAACTCAATATCTTGAAAGTATTAGTCACTTTATAATCCAAGTTACGTAGACTTGCTTCAAAGGAAGAAACGATGATATATCCAATTTAAATCATATTTTCTGGGATATCAAAAAGCAGGATTCACAAGAAAACCGATACTTTAATCTCGTTCCTTTGAGAATTCAGTTATACGCATGCTATGATATTAAGATTATAAGTAGATGCATCTTATAAATATATCCAGTTCAAATTATATTTCTTGAGATATAAACGATCTACAAATAAATCTAAGTCCTATCTGCACACGTTACCAAAAGATCAGAACACTAAATAACGGATATTAGACATCAGCTCATAAATGTATCTACTTTAAACCACGTTTCTTGTTACAATCCTCCCAAAATCCTCGCGAGCAAATTCAAATCACGTTTCGATTAAAATTGGGATCGTTTCGTTTTCGAAATCAAATAACAAGTAACATATATATAACAAATTATCTTCAAATTAACTTTGCTGAGATTATATTCGTTACTTTATTTCAATGATTATTATAAATTATTTAACATTTATAAAATTGCAGCGAATGAAAACAAAATTTGTTTCGTAAAAATAAATAGAATTGTACGTGAATATGCACAAAAATTTATTCAATGAAATATGAAGGGAAATATTATTATTTCGTAACGAAATAACTTGGAGAAAAATTGTTTGATCGTTTGTATAAACAAACATCATTATTTCAAATAATATATAAATCAATTAAGGTATAATTATTACAATTCTTTTTAAATTGCATTCATTCTTAAAATTTGAACCCAATTCATGGCTAAGAATAATTGAAAATAATATTTTTCCAATTATTATTTTATCTTAAATTCCTTTAATCGATTAAATAAAAACAATTAAAATAAATTATCTATCAAATAATAATTAACATTACTTGGAATAATTATTCCTAAATTATTACTCGAAATAAATTTCATTCGAATAGTTCACAATCCTTTCAATCAGATGAGATACGAGAAATTTGTAAATTATTTTAAAATTCAAAATTATTTGAAAATCTATATTTAAAATATTTTATGAATTTCATATGCTTCATATGAAAAAAATAAATGTATGACCAAATGATTTATTCGTTACTTCATCTTATTTAATTTTAATCAAATATTAAATTAATTAATTTATTAACTTAGTAACTTTGTTACTAATATTACTATGAGTGTGCTACAATTATTATTATTATTATTGCTATCGTATTCAAATCATTGCACTAATGGCATGAATCAACTTAATTTTTCTTTTTTTTATTCGATTTCGAGAAATTTAATTTTCTGAATGAAAGATTGATCAATTACATGATTAGATTTATTATTTTTATTCAGGATATCAGAATTTACTTATCCTGAATTTTATTTGAAAAACAAATTTTCAATCCCAACATTATTTTTTCAAATAATCAATCCTTCGATTTATTATTTATTTAAATAAATAATAAAAGGAAGAACATAATATCGGTTGAAAATACAGATGTTAATATTAATGATTGACCCTTTGCATAAAAAATTAAGAATTATAATATAATGTTTCTCATATGTAATTAAATGTAATGTGTATATGTAATTAAATGTAAATCGAAACATTTAAATGAAGAATATCCGAATCATTTAAATATATAAAATATGGAACAACATTTTTTTAATTCGAAGCTTCGTTTTCGAGAAAATCAAGTTTGAAAAGTTTTTAAGTACAAATAAAATTTTCGATTGGATACAAATTATCGACAATAAATTATTTCACGTGAAAATAAAAAACTAGAATAAACTTTCATCGTTTAAATCCTCGTATAATACAATCAAAAGTTACGTAAACAAAAAAATTTATATTTAATTTTCACACAATAGAATAATCCAATAATCCATTATCCATATATATTTCATCCCACGCTTCATCTTTTTCTTTTTTACAATCTATCTTACTTTCAATTACTCTCATTCGACCTACGTAAAGAAAAATACATTGTTTCTTTCCAAATAAAGGAACAATCGTTGCATACCTATATATTCGCTACTTATAATTCACCAATTTAACTTAATCAACAATTAATCCCACTTCCAAACAATTATTTTCAAACGATCACACTCTGATTCCTTCCCACTCCGCACACACGCGGCAAACAATTCGCCTCCACTTATTTAATCGGTGTCAGCCAGTTGAACGGCAAGAAGACGAAACGGGTTAATGTTGAGCGAGGGGGTAGCGTGGTGAGGGCTGTAGGCGTGGGACGCGCCTCGAGTCCTGCGCACACCGCACGACTCGTGCCGAAATCGTGCGGGGCCCGCGCCGCGAGATTTAGTCTGCGCGCGGCACTCGTCCGAGACGCGTCGTCGTCTGCCTCTCTCCCCCTACCGGAGGAAAAGTGCGTCGCCGATAAACCCTGCCGTCGAACCACGAGGAGTAATATATCGAAATTATGATTTTTCCACCGATGTAAAAAAAAAATAAAATAAATAGGGGAAGCTGTGGACGAGTTTATTATTGCCAAGTTCCTCCACGTTTGGGCCTCGTCTCCGAGTTTTTTCTGTGATCCCCCGATGATGAAAGTTTCCTTCGTAAAAAAAAAAAAAAAAAGATTGTCGAATACCGACAATTTTTCTTTTTAAATTTTTCTTTGAGAAATGGGAACAATTTCTAAAATACGAATTTTAAATTTCTCGTACGATTGTTTTACCGAGTGGATTAAACTTGATCAATCGATCAGTGGTGTTTCTCTTTAGTTTTAAGAGAGAAAAGATTATTAAAGAGAAGTTCGAAGTTCAAGAAGAAATCGTAAATCGTATCTTGATCCATCGAAAACTTTGATTCGAAAGAGAAACGAGAGCTCTCCCCTTCCTCCCCCCCCTCTTTCCTGAAGAACTACGAATTCAACGAATTTCGTTTCACGCTGCACGGAAACGGGGTTCAAAGGGCGTGGG